AATGACATCGTCACTCGGGGGTTTCATCAGGATTTTGGGGCGCGTATCACAGCATCTGAAGCTTTCTATGTGCTTTACATGGAAACGCGGCATGATTGCTGTGAAGCCTGTGGACATGATGGCGAGCATGCTCCCGTGTGTGGTCAGGACATGCATTGAAATGCATTGTGTCGGGAATTAACCACCAAAGCAGCATGTTAATCCTGCCCTGACCTTGTGCAGAATGTGGAGAGAGCTGTGTCTGTGGGGCTAAAGATAACACCACAGCCTTTGTGCTGAAGGAGAACAACACTGCTGATGATGCTGCTTTGTGCTGCCGGCACAGTCGCCGCCCAAGGTCACATGTGCTCGCTGATAGACTAACCAGACTTGATGAGGTGACCTATTGTAAGGTACGAACAATCTGGCATATCTATATCTTATTCATTTTGGCGCTCCATGGTTTTGTAACCACTGCACTGTGATTCGCCTCAGATTGGATGTGCATGACAGTATCTTGCATTAATTAATATATTATATATATATAATTTCAGTATAATTTAGAAAATGAAATAAAGGTTAAATGTTTTTCATTATTTCTTTCCTATTCTCAGAAAATAATTTTCTAGATTAAAGACATTTATTACCTGACATAAAAACCCCTTTGATACATAAACTGTTAAGGATATCAAAGGTAATTCAGTGATAACATTTGGCAAATAATTTATCTATATGCTTTTATTTCTTACAAAAAGAGAAGAAAAGTTCCATAGATGGTACTACATTTACAAAAAAACAAAAAAAACAGGGTCTCTCAATAAGATTGATATGGGGAGTGTAAAAAAATACTTTTTTCAGTACTCGGGACAAGAGCCACTTGATGGGGATAACTGTCAAAGATATGTTACACTATGGAAATTGAAGAACAATGTTCACAAGTAAACAATTTTTTATTTTTTATTAATGAATCGCTCTCAATGTTTGTTATATAAATACACAATGTGTTAACAAATGCACAGAAACTACTTGTTTATGCACAGGAACACCTAACCTCTAAAGTCTAAACTGCTGTTACTCAGTGACTGGCAGATAAGATTGTGGTTATCACATCCAACAAACACAACTGGACCCAAGTGAGGTGTGAATTCACCCATAGGATCTGGACACTTCTCAAGTACCATTTCAGCTCACTAAATGGACACTTGTTCTAAGCATCCCCACGCCTGATATCTGAAACATCCATCTGCTACACCGCTTATACCTTGTTGAATCACACGGGGGCTGGAGCCTATTCCAGCCGTCAATGGGTCAGACGTCCAGCCCTTACAGAGACAAACAACCACACACACGCTGACATTTGCTTCGATGGCAAATTTAGACTCTTCAATTAAGCTAACATACATTTTAAGATTGTGGGAGGAGGCCTGAGAGAACCGTTGCATAAAAGGGGAGAACATACAAACTCCACTCAGAAAGGCCCCCGGGGATGGTAACTGGAAATCTTCCTGCCATGAGGCCGCAGTGCTAACCACCAGACCAGTGTCCAGTGTCCATCCACCCATTTTGTACAACCATGTAATCCAATTCAGGGCGGTGGGAGGGAGTCTATCAGCTGCCAATGGGTGGGAGGCAGAGTACACCCTTACCCTGGCCTGATTTATGGCTTTCTATTTTGAGCACAGCTAACAGTGCCAGCATGGTAGTAGTGGGGTATGAATGACCAGTGTATCCCTTATTTGGTTTTACGAAATCTTAACACTATGCATCACACTACTGGCTAAACGTTGGTTTCCCCGTAAACATGACTCACAAGGCTTTGTGTTTGTCCTCAGCAAGGATCTGGTCATTTGGCTTCAGTCCAAACCTTTAAGGAAAAAATAACAGGGTGGAATGGTGGAAATTATTAGAAATCTCATTGACGTTTAGGGCACAGAAATAAGATTATACAAGTGGCAAACAAATGATCCATTTAGACTTACTTGTCAAGGAAATCTTTGTCCACAACAGCTGAGATGTCAAGCAAGGGATTTCCCATCCCAAAGAGCGTGTTTTCACTGTGTGGAAACAAAAAAAGGATTGTATTGTGTGCACTCCCACTGAGTTGCTCTTCAAGAACAGATGAATGAATCTGCTGTGATGCAGGAGATCGTCTGTTTGTAATTTCTTTGCTTAAAATGCTTCAACATCAGCAAGGGACTACTCAATGTTTCACTGAAGGCCTTGTTACCAGAGACTCTTTCTCTGGTAATGGACAGATATGCACATGTAAATATTAGTTACATTGAAAAGATGACAAATGGAGGATTTTTTTATGCCATTGTTTTCATATACAGAAATGGTTAGTTCATGCATCATTCAAAAGGTTGATAATAATGCATTTTTTTTATTTTAAGTTTCTCTGTAAAAGATAGAAATGTGTCTTCTGTTTGCAAAACCCTATCACCTAGAAATTCTAAGTCATTAGAAACTATTATGGTCAAAGTCTACTTCTGACAAGACTCTTTGTCAGAAGTTAACCAATTACAAAGACAGAGAAAACATGTGGTTTAAATAATGTTAACAAAATATTGGACTTGTTTAGATGTAGAGTACATTTTTCCATTTGTATAAAAAGGATGCAAAACAGTGTTCTAAGGCTGCCTATTAAAAAACAGGCAGCAATGTAAGCACATGTTCTCACAACATCAATCATGGGAGCAGACTAGCTCGCTGTGGAAACACGGGTGTATATCATCATTTGGATCTCACCTTGGTGTTGGCATGATGTCAGAAAATTCAGCAGAAGATTAAATTATCAACAGCTTTCACCTCTCTGTCAAAGCAACGTGCTTTCTGACTCCAGGAACTGAGGCTGCTCTCTGGCCAACCCTGATACACTGGTGGAGGAAGTGGGCGGGTCTTAATAGCTCTCGTGCTTGTGATTGGCTGAACGGATTCCAATTACTGGAGGCTTTCTATGCTGCATTTGAAGCCAGTAAGTAAAAAACATGGAAAATAGCAGGACTCAAGCTACACCATAAACAGCTCAAACAGCATGCATACACGTTTATGTACTTATACATTTGTGGCCTCTTGTGTCTTCAAATTTAGGACTTTTAGCAGGTTCTAATCCCATTTCTTGCCAGTCACCTTTATTTACGTCAACTTTAAACAATCTTTCATGTTTTGAAATGACGTTCAATTAATCGTTTTAACTATCATTGTTTGTCTTGATCCCCGAGATTGCTATCTTGCTTTAGCAGTTGAAAACATGACTCAGTCATCTTACGATACACATTTGATAACCAAACATGTCTCGTTCAATGTGCTTTAGCACAGGTTTCCTCTGAAACATTTGCTATTTAAAAAGTAGGTCTCCAAGGCCAATTGAACGCCCCACGGTTCACTTTTTGTAGTTTTTTTTTATGTCAACAAAGCGTTAGCCGTTTGTCAGCACAACACTGCATTGTAAATAATTATTACAATGTGAATGATCTTTTGGTCTAATTAAAGATAAACTGGCCAAAACTCTATGTTGAAAACTCTATATTTCCTTGCAACACATTTTATTTACATTTGGGTTTACCATTTACATATTATGCTTAACTTCACTCAAGAGACTCATTCGTTACATAATGAGCTCGTTTGTCCAACCATCCTCTCATTACTATTTTACACATTATGAAATGTGTTTAGTTTTAACTTCTAATCAAAATATTAAGTTTGTTTTTAATGCACGTCAAGTGTTCTGACGTGATTTCATGCATCAATTGCTTTAAGAAATCAGCTAAATAAGTGTATTATTTATCATACATTTATATAATGTATATTATTATATAATATTTAATGTACATAAGTGTGTGTGTGTGTTTGTGTGAATACAATTACAGGATGACAGACTGGATAAGTGCAGCGACAAAATTTTGCCTTTGAGTAATGTGAACCCCACTTGTTCGGCTAGCTGCGCACTGTACGGTATAAGAAATGATTATGCAAATAAGCGCTGACAGCGGATTAACTTGCATTTTTTTAAGTGATGTTACGTTCAAAGGTTGAAGCGTTTTATCGCTCTGCTCCTCCACCTGACAGTTACAACACCACAGACGTTAGCTTGAATTAACAGCTAGCTACAGAGGCTAACTGAGCGGAGCTCATCGTTCAGTCTCACGAAAATCACCAACCAGTTTATTACCGTAACGTTGTTATCCTCCCTGTCGACGTTTTCGTCCCTTCGTCAGACATTTTTCCTCAGATTTGCAAGGTATCTCTCGATGCGGTAAAGCCTTGGAATCCTCTGTTGTCGGACCGAGAAGGGGACAGAAAGACAGCAGCTGCCTTTCCCTCAAATGATGATTGAGAAATTGTTCAACCGCCTGTAACCTAAAGAGAATATTAGAGGCTGTGTTTGGGCAAAGGTCGATATTATCTCGGGTTTTTAATTGTCTGGGCCAGTGTACATTTTGCTTCCATAGAAAGGAGAAATATCTGGTGTTATCGCGGTTCTTTCGTTTCCCCCCTGGATCAGTTCTATGAAGTTCCCTCTCATACGCAGCCCATTACAAACCCATTACAAAGCATAGCACCGTTTAGATATAAAACCTTACGTACAAAGTGTGCATATGTGTATTTATGGAGTTATCCAGATCAGATGTTCATAAGAGCAATGTCTTCAAGGGCCACATGAAGTAAAACCCACATGTTGTTTTCGATCATCAGCTGATTCCCAACTGGTTTGATAAGCACTGGGGTGCCGTTTTCTTCCAGATCAAGTTTAAAGAAATAAAACTGAACTGTCCAGCTGGTTAAACAGTCAAATATAGCAGGGCTTTTATTAACATGGCTAAAATGTGTAACCACTTAGTTTTTGTTTGCACAGGTTTCAGTAAAAAAACAAAAAAACACTTATGAATGCAACACTGTGCCTGTTCCACCATTTACCAGTCATTTGATCAGTTTTAGCACTCTGATGTCTATCTGCCATATCTAAAAAAGATCCCTCCATCCCACAATTATCTGTACCTCTCATTTCTAGTACAGTCACAGTTCTGGGGGCTCTCTAAAAGGCTAAAAGTTAAAATAGGTCCATCATTGCAGGTAAAGAAAACTGGCGGTTTGTGAACCCTTATGATAGAGTACGCCTCTGTGAAATGTAAAAGAAACAAAAAGAGGTCAATTTCAAAATAAGAAATAGCAAAAAACTCCAAGTGCTATAAAATGCTTTATTACAAAATTATGAACAATGCCTCAGCAAACTAATGTTCAAACTCATTTGAACCATTCTAAGTTGCATAATCATAGAGAAAAAAGGGCCTGCATAGAGAATAGTACTATTAGCAGAAGTCATCAATCAGGTTTAACGTGAAAGCAGAAATCTGTACAAGTGTTTTGAACAAATTAACACCATGACGCCTTGTACAAATGATAGAAAACATCTTAGGATAGAAGCTGTATCAATTGCAAATAAAGTTAATCTTGAAAGGCACATCAGTTTGTATTAGATATTAGAAAGACTTTCACGAGTGTCCATATCTTTAAGTATCCACTACAGATGGCGGTTACAATTTAGTGTATGAAAACATATTCTGACAAATTGTTATAATACAGAATGAGTGTTTAACCAGGTGCTGGCAGTTCTGCTCTTTCCCTTGACTGCCTTAGAGAAGTGTGCAATACATACATCGGAAATGATTGTGCACAGGAAAAGAGACATACAAGTGTGCGTGATGGTTACGAAACAGTTTAAAAAGAAGAACTGCAGGAAATGGTCAATAGTTTGCATGCTTTCTAAGCAAAATGACTAATGAATTAACAAAAATATCACTTTTCATTCTCATAATGTTATACAAGCTTATTTATTACATATGATCCCAAAGCAACAACTACCATCTATATAATATGCCTGTGTTGCATTGGAATTTTCATTAGTTTGTTTTTGTTATTTAAATTAGGTTTAAAAACCCTGAACTCAAATCTGAAAATAAAGACAACTACACTTCCAAAGACTAAGGGCAAATATCTTTGGCAGACCTCAGAAGATAAAGACTGCTACAACTGCATTACAGCATGATAAGTAAAGAACAGTGTTTTTATTTCACCTCTCATAATAAAGAATATTGTAAACAGATGTAAATAGCACTGTTTGCTCTGTGTGCTGTGCATAGCCCTCTGCTGCACTTGTAACAACTCAAGTTTGTGTGCTTGTAATAGCAAAGGTAAGTGATAGTGATACTAAAATAATCAGATATAAAAATGTCTCGAGAAAACGTCATTTCAATTTAATTTAACATGCTCTGTAGTCAGAAAACGACCAGAAACAATCATCCTTACGCAAAATCTCATCTCTGATCAAAATATATATACTCCTGGGATTTGTCAAAATAAGCTTTAAAATAGATTTTTACACACTTCCCAGTAATATTTTAACCCACAACCCTCACTTTTAGTCCCATCTTTTACATTCTTCCACAACAGCAACCATTACAGACAGGACATGGGACTACCAGAGAAACTTTGCCCGTATTAGGATTTTGGGCTCTGATAATGCATGTCTGTTCATTCAGTGTCCTTATGCACAACTCGACAGAGCCGACATCATGCAGAGGACCAATTTCTCTTCTCTTATTGGTACCAGGGGGTCTTTCTAACCCAGTGGAGAGTGAAACCGGCATCTGTCCGGATCTTAATGGAAGCCGCCTCTGCTTCTCTGACCGTCTCCTTCACAGACTGCATCAGGTTCTGAGCGTTGTGAACCAACATCTCCGTTGCCTGCAGCAAAAAGAATTACATTAGTGGTGAAGGAGATCTGAACAACCCTTCACTGATAGCCACTATAAGACAATTATGAGGATTCTGGTACATTAGAACTAAATAAAAAAAATCCTCTCACCTGCTCTGACTCCTCTTCGCTGATGTTGGTACGACCCAACATGGTAGCTTTGACAGTGGACAGGATTTTGAGCTGAGTGCTGATGGTGGGGATGCGTTCACACACCTGATACACGGTGTAAAAAAAAAAAAGAAAGAAAGAAATGATGTCAAAATATTTTCCAACATTAAAACAGGCAGGTTTTTCAACACTTAGAGAACGCTGTTGAAGTTCCCTTTTAAGGCAACTATTCTGACCTGGAGCAGGTTGGTCCGGATACGTTTATCAGTGCATTGTTTGGCCACCTCCTTAGCCAGCCGAGTGACCTCATCAGAAGCCTTAGCAATGTCTTTGGCGCACTGGATGAGAGCACGCTTGTTTCCGCTGCCGCCGCGAACCAGACGGGACATCTCTGCCATGAGCAGGGCCATTCGTTTGGCTGCACCAATGATGTCATTTCCCTACAAGATTTAATAAGGCAAGAAATTAAAGCTCTGATTTAATAATCAATCACTGTGTTTCCTGGTTATGTCAGAAAAACAATTCATGAACCACACACGTTCATAAGCCCTTCCAAAGGATGTCTCTTGTCTGGCTGCTATGCCTCAAGTACAACAGCTACCATAAAAGCTTCTGGTACTGGCAGTGACATTTCATGTGGTGGCAAAGCGACAGCATGGCTAAACATCTCCTCTTTGGTCATGTTTCAAAGTTTCAAAGGACATTCATTTCAGAATTCAGATCCAGCATTGCAAAGTTAAGCCATGCTGCCAACCCTCTTTAGAGCAAGAGGGCCTTTTCCTGGTAAACATTTTCCAATCTCTTTTGTGCATTTACATTAATAATTTAAAGTTAAAGATGTTCTGCCCTTTTCAAATGGCTGTACATCTCTGGACCCTGGAAGGCCTTCTACCCCTCCCAAACAAGGGTTAGAAGGTCCTCTATAAAGTATATATGGCACATTATGTTGGTGGATTTCAGTCAGAACAAAGACAAAGTTACTCTGTTTTAAGAATATGCCTATATGCGTCTTACTATGTCTGACTTACTTTACTGGACCACTTGCGAGCTTCATCGTGAAGCTGCCTGGCAGCCACCATCATAGGCTCATTAACCATGTCACCAGCCTTCTGCTCTGGGAATTCCTCATCTTTTTCCTCTGGTGGAGGAGGCCTGGGGGGAGGAACCTCACCCTCTGGAAGAGGAGGCTTGGGAGGTGCTGCATCATCATTAAGCTAGAGAGACAAAGTAGTTTGACAATTAAATTGGATGGGTTAAGATCAAACGGCCCTAACTTGTTTGTCTCACTTAAGCTTGCTGTTCCTATAAGGACTTACATAAAGCTGATCCAGTTCAGGAGGAGGAGGTGGAAAGTCTGGCTCTTGAGGCTGGAATGCCTCCCTGACCTTTGCCACAGCACCAAGAATCTTATAACCCGAGTCCAGAAAGCCTTTCTGAAGACCTGACAATGAAAACATATACATTCACGCTCATCAGGAGTTTCCAAATAAATAAAAAAAGAAATCAAGCATCACATTAGCAGCATCAACTTACTTGGATCTTGAATATTTCCGGCAACTGCCTTAGCATCCATTACCATAGGGGAAATTGTCTGGCTCAGTTCATCAGATGCAGCCTTTACCATCTCCCTGAACTTGGGATCCTCGGAATTCTCCACCTCTCGTTTTGCCACCAGGAGAATACGGTTGGCTCTGCGGGCAATGCTTGTGGCACCAGCCACCAGCATCTGAGGCTGATGATTGGCCATGGCCACACGGCACTTATCCAGGTCCTTCTTGATGGCTTCCTCTGAGGCATCCAGGAGAGATTTGGTGTCGATGGCCTCATCCACCAAGCCTAGACATCCAAAACAAACCACCAAGAAATTACAACTTGAGGTTGGAAAAACTGTCAATCGCTCACTATCTTTATAGGAACCCTACCCGTCATTTTCTCCACATTGTCAATCCACTGGTTCTTCATGGTCTCAAAATGCTCATAAGCTGCTTGGTTGCCAGGGTTTCTCAGCAGAATACGAGCAGCCGACACCACCTTAGAATAACCAAAGCTACTTATTCCAAGTCTATAAATTGCAAAAAACTTGTGATATGAGAAACACTCTGTGGCTTGAACTGCAAGAGGACCACAGACACAAACAGGAAGAGATAGAAACACTCAACCACAACATACTTGTGGTGTCAAGTCTCTTGTCGACTTGACAGCAGCTTGGATTCCCTCCACTGTACCCTTGTTAGCGGTGCCAACAGCAGCAGCCTTCTCTGCTGTGGCGCCAAGCTTATTGGCGTGGTTCTCAAAGTTGGCAGCTCTGTCGTCAAATACCTGCACAGGATCAAGCAAAACATCTATTCAAACCGATAGTTGGATATAACACAGAACTCATACATAGGAGTATTATGACGTCACAATGAGGAATGGAGGGAGTTCTCCACGGACCTCATCTCTGTTGGGAGCATCAAGTGGGGCCGTAGCAGCCACAGCCAGTAACTTGATGGGGGTTGTTGTGTCACTGAAGATGTCAGACACTTCCTGTGTCATTGCCTCTTGCATCTTTCCTTTTAGCTCCTGTAATGAGGACATATAGAAGTTATGACCAATCTGTCCCTTCATACACTCTTAACTGAGGTTACAACAACAGCTGAACTTAAATCTAATAAAACGATCACACTTACAAACAAGAAATTATCAGAGATCGTGTAGTATACGTTTAATTAACTTCAAGTCTTTTTAATTTCCTAAACAAATTGCCATTTTGTTGTCACCATTTGGAAAAGGCAAATGGACAAATGTTATAATTTTTTTGTTGATTTTCTTAAGTTACTGTTCATCATTAGCATTAGTCTGGTTCTTTCTAATAAGAAAACAAACTGCAAAACTGATTTGAACACTGAACCCCACAACATATGAACTAGTCTATAAAATACTGTTGCTATAGAGTTTAGCTCATGTTTGACCCTAGAAAAATTTGTGTGCAATATAACAAGCTTAGTTTTCACCTTAGGTGTCACCATCTAGAAATCTTTAAATGAATTTCTTTTTTTAAGTCAAACTGACAGTTTTCTTTTATCAATCAAATGTATGTTATTTTTTTATAATGAAAATATATGTTTTTATTGTATAAAAGATAATGCTTAACTAACCAGCAGGGGGGGCTGTCTCCCTGTGTCCATGCTTGAATTCTGACCCATCACAGTGAAGCTAAAACCCTTTATGAGAATGACCCTGCAGTGTTGGCAGTCTTACTTTTAAGGCCTCCTGGAGCTGCTGAGCGACAGCACGTGCCTGTGGGGAGTCCCCTTCCCCACGGGCGGCCAGGTCAGCCAGCTGGGCCATGAGCTGCTCCACCTGCTCACACTTACCCTGCAGCTCCTGCCTGTATGGGCCAGGCAGAGCGTTGGCCAGCCTGCGGCCCTCTGCCACCAGGCCACGGATAGCTGCCTGGCCTGGAACCACACAAATATACAGACATGTTAACATTTTGCTGGTTAAATCCATCGCTTATGGATGCACCAACACTAAAAAGTTGCTGAAAGGTCTCATTAATAAACTAATAATTAACTTCTTCCTCACACAGCTAAATGTGGCAATAAAACAAGATAAACAGCACCTAAAATATCACCTTTCAACTGTTGGTTCTTAGAAAGCCAAGTGAATAAAATAGTAGTAGTGATAGTATAATGTGCAGAATGCCAGTAACATCTGATCATTTTTCCTTACAAAAACAAATTCCTGCTTTTGTGCTAGTTAAGTGGAAGTTCAGCTCCATTGTTTCTTTTTCTTTATAATCTCAATTTTTCTCAACTTCATTTCTCAATAATATTTAAACTATTCTTGGAGCAGCCAACATCTATTGTAAACACGTAAGATGGTGTCCAGGATTTTTGTGGACCTACACCAAAACCAAAGAATGATACAGAAACATGTTGACAAAGTGTATGGTCTGCAGCCAAGCCACGGAAACAGTGGGAGGAATGTAACAAAGTATGAGAGGAAGGCCCAACTCACCCACACCACTGTCATCCATTGTGGGATTGTCAATCCAACGCTGTGCCTGCTCAATCTTTCCTTCCAAATGAACAGCTGCCTTCGCAGGCCTGCTGTTGGCCACAGCTTTGTTGGTCTTCGACTGCAGGTTCTGCAGGGCTGTGGCTATCTGTTTGGCCAAAGCTCTGGCCTCAGGAGTGTCCCCTTTACCCCTAAAAGAGGTGTTAAAAATGTTCTCTTCATTTATCACAAAAATGTGTTTGATACGGGATCTGTATGACATATGATTTCACTATGTGTTTAATTATAATGACTGTATATAATATATATGCGTTTTTACCATTTACCTGGACATACAGTACACCAATGGCTTCCTCAAAACTGCTAAACACTTTGACGTTTAGAATAATACTATTAGCAGAAGTCATAAAAAGGTTAACGTGAAATCTGACTTATTGAATCAGTTTACAATCAAACTGATTGAAATAATGAATGAAAAGGTCCGACCAACTGCAACAGAGTGGAAAAGCAGATTGGCCTGTTTATTCATAGTGTGGCCTGACGGTCTAAGGCTCTAAAACAGAAATACGAAGCCAACATAAACTGGACTCAAATCTCAGACAGTCATCAACTTACTGTCTCCTCAGATCAGATAGCTTGGCAGTCATGGCAGCGAGCTCCCCCATTGAGCGCAATATGTCCTCTCTTTCTTTGGGGTCCTCACACATGTCTGCAATCTTTCTGGCCTCAGCAAGCAGGGCCTTGATATTCTCCTCCCCCTCTGGGCCACCATTAGGATCTGCCAGCCAGTTCTGTGTTGGGACAAAACGCAAACAAGCACATCAAAAACAATCAAGACAACAAAAAATCTTGTTTGAATCAATGATTCATGGGCTGTAAAAACTGATTCTAATCACTCACTTGTGCTGCATCAATCCTTTTAGCAATGGCCTGCTTTGAGTTGGTCATGGCCTCCAGTTTGCGGGCAGCATTTTCCACTTTACCAGTGAGAACATCAAGCCCCTGGGAAACCTGCTGTGCCTTCTGCATAGCGGGCGGGGATGCTCCTTGACCTCTGTTGAGGGCGAAGAAAACACATGGATACCATCAGGCAGTCTTTTGGGTCACAGGACTTTAAAAAAAAAAAATGTTTCATACGATTTTTCTTAACCGATTTAGGTCCTGACATATGGGGAATATTCTGTGATATAGCTGTGCCCATGACTGGTCTAATCTAAGATGATACCCAGTGATAAGCTAAATGTACAATGCAACAATACAAAGATTCCTATTGAAGATTAGTGTACCATATCATAGTAGAGTACCATTTTGACTCATCCACTACCCACGAAAGGTAGTCACATCACTTTAGTGTTCCTCCCAGTTTTGTTCAACCGGAAAAAAGAAGTCTTTAAATCATGCTCTTGAAGGAGTTACTTGGCCACTGGGGAGATCCTACAACTGTTTGACCAAAACAAGCCTATAAAGTGCAATAAGGCTTGCTGGCTCGTTGACTTCTTTCACTGAAATATTTAAACCAAATTCTTCTATTTCTAGACATGCCTCAGAGGCATCTCCAAGTTTTTAAAAGAACAGATTTAACAGGGTCTGAAAGTAGATTATGGATTAATACCAGACAGCTGCATGGCTCAGGGTCTCTGCTGACAATCAGATCTCATATCAGAGGGATAATGCACACTCCTCTTACACACGATAATCCATTTTAATATGCTTACTGCATTACACCACTCAATCCTATAGGGAGGAAAACTGAAACCACTGAATAATAGACGCATTTCTGAGGAACACACCTAATGAAAATGGAAAAGTTCTCCAACACCATATATACACACACACACAGACATAAATATATATTAAAAAAATCATAAAATGAAAGACAAAGCATGAGATGGTGAACATTGTACCTGGCCCTCATCTCAGACACCTGGTCCGTCATCTGGCCCAGAGTCTTGGCTGTGCCAAGTATATCTCTGCGCTCCTTTCCTGCACACAGTTCCCCAACTTTACCAGCTTCATCCAGGATCTGTCGGATGGCCTGCTCGCCTGCGTCCCCTGGACCAAAACAAAAGAAGTTGAATATATATCAGTGAGTTCACCAATTAAATGAAATCATTAGAAATGTGACTCAGAGCAGAATGAAGTTTAATGGAGCTTCATGGATTTTAATTTTACCTGGTTGTGCATTTGGATCCCTAAGCCAGTTCTTAGCCTGACCCATCTTGGAGTCAATGAGCCCTAGCGCCCTCTTCATGGCTTCTGTGTCCTTTAGGTTATAGAGAATAACAATTTCTTACAGAGAATCAATTATCAAAAATAAATCACGAATATATGCTGTACAATGCTTTAATTATACTTAAACTCTAATAAATGTACATTTTAGAGTCACTACTTCTGTAACATTCTGTGGGAATTTTAACATTATGGTGCATGAAAATGATCATATTACCACAATTAAAGCATTATACACTGGAACTGAGCTTTGAGAGCTATTTTCCTTCAACAATTTACCGCGTGCCAGACACTTGGTCAAAAACCATGTCTAGTTAAGGCTGATTAGTTATTAATTTAAAGGGAAAATTAGTCAAACTTCATGTGCAGCACTGATAACATCTGTCTGGCCCAACACAATGAAGCAAGCAGGTTCCACCTTTTTTTTTTTGCCATGGAACACTCAATACAGAGCATGTCATGCTGTAAAAGTCAAACAACTCCCTGTTGTATCTCATTCAGAGTAAATGGAAATACAACAATCTATCCAACAGCAATTGAACAATGAGATCTCTCACTGCCAAACACAACCAAACAAAGGAGAGTCCTGTGGAATATGGAACAAGGCAGGATACCAGAGTAAAGGGATGAGAGTCAAAGTTAGTAAACATTTCCTACAATACCAATACAAAACTGATGCAGATTGCACCAAAAATGGTTCCAAAGAAAGACATTAGTAAATCTAGTAATTTTTTATACTTTTATATCTATAATAAAGTGTCTGTGCTATCACACTGAATCCTCTTTGACGTCAAAGCAAACAAGTGACAGGCGTGTTTGTGTGAAAAGAACACAAGTGTACAGTAAGGGCCCTAAATAATGAAGAGAAAATACGCAGGAAGTCCAAAGGTGACATCAGAGTTGTGTGGGTGTATTAGCTTACTGCTCAAACATGCTCAACATGCAGCTGCTGTCATGTTGTAACCACCTGTGTGGGGGTGTGACAAAAACCCAGGAAAGAACTGAGAAAGGCAGAATTAGTTTTTTTTTCCTCTGCAATCCAACCAAACACACATTTATCCAAACCTGTAATCAAACATGCAGGATGGTTATATCCCAAAATGAGAAGCGTTGGGATTCATGGTAGTCATAACAGGATGAGTGAATGTTAAGTGATCTTTAAAATACTAGACCATATTTGCTGTTTAAACAAAAAAGTTAGCATAATCCACATAAGCAAAATCTATCTCAGAGATTCTATGTGTTCTCCTCCAAGAGAAGCCTGATGTTCATGCATGAAGAGATGAACCCTCAGAGAATTCTCCTTGATGACTACAAAAATCAATTCTGCATGAGTCAGGTCAATCAATAACCCAACAAACCAAGGATAGAGCAAGGTTTAAATGTCATTGGAGGGGGACACACAGATATTGATATTATGTTGTGTGATGAAGCAAATTAAATCCTTAAAACTCTGAGAAAAAAAAAAACAGTGTGCAAGTCATCGTGACAGCAGTTCAATCTGCCTAAAACTGAAATAATAAGTCTCACAGCAGTGGTAATATTCAACATTTAAACTGGTATATCACTCAGTCCATCTGTCGATTTCGCTTCGTAATTGTCTCATAATTCAGAAACACACAGAGACAGAACAAAGCACCAAACAGCACACTCATCTCTCAGGCATGCTATTGCACAACCAGGGAGCGACAGAGGTAAGGCTTACCTTCTACAGGGGTGAAGGGAGAACGAAATAGTAAAAGAAATTAAAAAGGGCATAAATACAAACTATACTATAGTCACAATCAATCATATAAACTAAAAGAAACTAATTTTAATTCAACAAAGTGAGAAGTGACTCAAGAAAAAAAAAGGTTGTCCAGAGGTGAAAAAAGTATCAACGCTTTGCAGGCTTGAATTTAATAAAACCATTGTTCACACCGGCAAAACTCAAATTCATCTTGCACAAAATGAAAATCTAATTTATTCATTAGGGTTTAAAGCTTTGGTTTAACGCGGTTGAACTGTGAGAGAGGCCTAAAGAACAAGGTAGAGAAACAACTCAGCTCTTGGGTTAAAAAAACATTGTTTCAGTTTCACAGTGCACAAAAATAAACTGTGAACACTTTCTGAATATTTCACAGAGCAAATTTACTGTATGTGGTTTCAAATTCTATTTCTTTAAAGTTAACTTTGTTTGAGCACTTGTCAACTTTGTGCTACAAAAAATATCAATACCAACAGTTTCACATCTGTGCTGGATTACACCCATTTATATTCAACCATGTATCGTTGGATGCCTGAGATTTAGTTAAACAAAAAACTAACAACAAAAAACTGCAGTTCATTGCACGCACCTTGTTGGCCCAGGCATCTTCATCCCAGGATGTGAGCTGCAGAACTCTGATGATCTCATTTATCTCAGCACTCATCTTCTCAAAGGTGAAGTTACGATTCTTTAAGGCCTCTTCCACCCCCTGACTGCCAGAAGTCTTGGTTGTTACAAATATTTTGATTCCTGAAATTTAAATAGAATATAAACAAATTAAAGTTTCAAGTTTACAGTTGTGTTTTTCTAAAAAAATTCAAGAGAAAATAAACATGAAATGTGGAAGAATCCCTTCTGCATGTGGATACTGTATGCATACCTGAGATGAGGATGGGCAGCAGCTCTTTCACTGTGTTCATAGAGTTGACCAGCATTACACGGTGCTCCTGATGTGTGAGCTCCTGCTGTCGCTCATCTATCATCTTTGCCATCTTTGTCATCCCTGATAACATGCAGCAAAACAAAAATGAGCCTATAATAGGTTTGAAGTGTTGAGGATACAGCAAGCTATTTGTCTTTTACCATACCATCTTATATGATAACTTCAGCATGGAAGTAAGTTCTAAGATCTTTCAAGAATTTTTGATTACTTGGGTACAAAAATCATTTTTATTCACTGTATTTATAAATAGATTTGCTGAATAACTAAAGCTAAAAGTTCATGTCAAATCAGTTAGCTAACTCAGCTTAATCCTATTTTTATATTCAGTTCAGTCAGATCTGGCTACATAGAACTGTATCAGACAGACCAACCTGGTCCCAGGTTCTTTGTGTAAGTGATCAGGTCCTCCATCGTCTCCACGACCTCAGCTACAGTCAGGTACTCCAGTATGCCTTTGCACACACGGATTATTTTGCGGACCTATCGTAGCATTTGGATAAAATGACAGTAAAAATCATATAAAACCAAGCATGATCAGAAATAAGCAATTATTCAAACACAGTTGTACACCTCCCTAATACATTCCTTCTAAATGTTTGTTTATAATGCTGCCTACTGACATTCCAGCCTCTTTGTCCTGTTTCACTTTATGTGGACTGCTGGAGTCACCACTTGTGTGGATAGAGATCCCTGAGCTACAATTCAAAACATGATGGTATTGCTGAATGATGGCTCCTGCTGACTACTGCGGACGTGTCAGGATGCCTGATTTGTGCTTTCCAGAGCGCTGATCTGCAACTTCTCTACATCCCAAAGCGGAAAAGAGGGATGGGCTTGTCAGATAACATCCCTGTCTGAAAAAATTTGAGATTCAGGAAATGTTTCTGTAAGCAATATGGAGAGTGCTCCAGATTACACAGAATATTTATCTACATCTCTGACTTCTTTATAGACACTCTTTCTAGATTATCATAAAATGTTGTGATAGCACTTCTCTGTCACATTCCAGTCCTGTAAGCACTTCAACCACAGTTCAACTGATCATTAAACCCATATATAAAATTCAGGAAGGCTTTTACTCTGTGGGGGCACATTCTTGCAACATCAATTTCTGGAATGAAACCAACTTATTACACAGATGTTTACTGATCAATTTTGCATTCCCTAAGCAAAATTTTGCCCTCCTTAAACAAGTACATTTAAGATTTACAAAGAAATAAATGCATGAATAAATGAATGAGTAAATACCTCTGCCTCATCAAAGGTAAGGAGCAGGTCAGAAGTCCCAGACAGGATGCCCCGAGAGCCATCGATGAGGTAGTCCCGAGCAGGAACAGAGTATGGATCAGCTTTTAGCATGGAGGCGGCTTGCACCAGCTTCGTGCATGCATTCTCCACTCTATTAAAGCAAAAGGTGATTCATTTAGAGGCCTTGTTTTATCTAAAAACACTCAGAAATCCATACAACTCATGCTGATGATTCATAGACTTCTGGAGGCCAGATGGACTTAACAAGTGGAAAGAGTAAATTGCCTTTAGCAAAGACTTATGAGAAAGCAATGCAAATGTGGCTTTGTTTCATTTCCTCTTCTCATGTGCTTCTTGTTAGATTTAAGGCAAATGTAACCTTGGAAGCCAATTGAGTGGAAATACTAGATTATATCTATCACAGTACTTATATCCCAAGGCATAAAACCAAAATCGTTAATTGAAAATGAACAAAGACCTGACAAAAAGGAAACCCTGCTCCAAAGACATGAAACAATTAATCTGGTTTTAAAATTCCCCACCCACAACATCTAGCTCAGATATCATGCAAAAGGCTTCACAAACTTAAACTTTCAACTAGTGTGCTTAGCAGCTAAAGTGGGAGCACACAGCATTTCCTTCAGGATACAAAGAAGAGTTCAGGCCATTTTGGCTCTTCACCATCCTTTTCGTAAGAAAATGATTGAAACGTCTGCATCAGATTTAACATGTTACGATACATTTTATTAAGTCTAAGACATCTCATAACTTCACCTGGAAATTGTTTTTAAAAAAAGGTAACATTAAGACATTAAATTAAATATGCGGTAGAAAAATCTAGACAATGAACTGAATCTCTTTGGACTCTGACTGAAAAATATTTCACGGACAACTTCTCTCAGATAAAAAGAAGTTAATTTGCTTCCACTGGACATGTGGACCTCTCCTGATTGGCTGTGGATGCATTTAAACCACAGCTTCCACAGAAAGGTAAATGATTGATAGAGTTGCCTTCAGGGTGTGATGCACTCAGTGGTCTCCAGAGCAGTGAAATCTGCAGGCTCAGCAATGCGATTCACTGTCATACATGCCACCAGCATTGTATCAACCGCCATTCTGCACATGGAAACAGGCAACAAGCCAAGAACCAACACGTGTTCCAGTTCCCACAGTATGAAGACTCCCTACTTTTGCCTATAGCATAACTGTTAGAAAACGCCACCGCTCCTGCTATTTTCCACTTTTCACGCATTGCACAGGAGCTAAACAGAAGAAGCTCAGTTTCTGTTTTATCGTTAGAATGAAATCTCCTTAAAGAGAAAGGCTTATGGGAGCTCCTGACATTAAGGCTAATATGTGAGTCTCTACGGTGTGAGCCAGCAGTGTCCTTCAGCGTGCACTACATATAAACAGCCATGCAATCACCAGAACCCAGCAGACACTATATTTAGTGATGGAGATGCATTCCAGCACATGTTCTGATGGATGACGACAGGGTGACGATGTGACTTTGGGGCGCCAAATTTGTTGAGCCTGACAACCTGTGCCTGCCAATGGGTTTCATCCCTGACCTTGGGGGCTCCCTCATTTGCCTTTCCCCATTTGACAATAGTTTCTGATTTCATAAGAATGACTGAAAGTGATTAGCCAAAATGAATGATTCCTCTTTTACATACCACAGTCTCTTTATGACAACTGAAACAAAAAGGGATAGCCAGTGAGTCTAGCAATGTAAATAGCCCCGATCCTGACGGGTAAAGGAACCCCTCCCAGATAAGAAGTATTTCAGTAACACCAGAGCAAGACTCTGAGGCACTTAACATGCCATGTCTGACCTTTGCCTGGACACAGCCAGCCATTACTGCAACAGATAAAGAGAGAAAGAGAGCCAAAGAGAGACTAGTGGGTTCCACACTGTTGGGAGAGAATGATTTAATCTATATACATTTAAGATGTTTGGCATAGCATGCATTTGAAGTGGTCCAGGAAAATCTCTGATGCTTACTTGATGAAAGCTGGTGGCATATCCCTTTTCATGATCTGGTCCTCGGTGGTTTGTACAGTTTCCTTTCCAACCTGGAAGATACATGTACTTTGATCAGTAATATTTTGCAGCAAAGACACAGCAGTTTTCCTTCAATAATAATGTGTTTAGCTATCTGAGCACAAATTAATGTCAATTGTAACTGAATAGTCATTCATTCTTTCTGATCTCTGTCATGGGTTAAAGGAGGTGAGAGCCTTGTATGGTATGAGCTGGGTGACTGCCCTGTGCCGACGACAATAGATGCTGCTGAATCTAAATTGTGAGAGAACAAAGATAAAGTGGTGTGGCAGAAAATATGTTTGAATCAATGTGTCCGCACATTGATGGTTACTATCAAAATCAAGTAACTGCCCATTCTGATTCATTCCAGTTTATACAGGAGAGGCATTTCATGGGCATGAGTAAAAGAACAATCCCCAAAGGAGTTCACCTTTAATCTTATAGTTTTCCATAATGATGTCCGGTGACTTGACCAGCAAACCATTATTATTAGCAGCTGCAGGGGGGACGGGGGAGGCCTCAGTACAGTTATGATGTATAAAGCAGCTGAACCTCTCCTCTCCTTCACATGCCAAAATGACTCACCACCCCCAATCATGACCTCAGCTCTGCGGGGAGTTACAGCTCACCCAAGTTGAGCGGCCATAGGTGACCGATCCTGAGCTCACAGTGGGGCACTAACCAAGTTTAAAAAACACTCAAAGAAACACCAAATCCCAGAAAAAAACTATTAACAATTAATGTTACACCTAATGTTAATATTTAGGCAAATATACACTACACTGTCACACACCCCATACTCTGCTAAACATGTCCAGCATGTCTCACCATGGTGAACTTCAAGACCCTTCCTTCCTACTGGTAATTTAAGATTGAGTTTTGACACTACAACGAGAATTCCCAGAGAGCTTGTTAACGTGTCAGGAAACGGGCAGGAGCAGGGCCATTCCTTCTGGTTGACATGGATGCAGTAACGGAGCAGAAAAGGCATGCGTTTCTCACTTTGGGCCTGAGGGACTTTGACTTTGTATGAATAAATAAAGGGGCTGTGCCAAACTAGGAATTGAAGCTGTCCACCTCAGAGTAAAGTGGCAGTGTGTGACTGACTCCACCGGTGAGTGACTGTTGACAGAAGCCAACAACCTAAGCTGACCTGTCCTACTGAACATTTGTTTTGGGCTTTCGGTCAGCTTCCTGTTCTTGAAATATTCTTAAAATCTTCATTTGTACTTTCCGTTTGAGTTCAGACTTCCTTTGGATAGTATTCCAGTTTTATACAACCGAGAAAAAATGACTAAAAGTTTGAAGAATGTGTCTATTGCTTTATGTCATCTCTTGGTTGTGGTAGTTTATTACTGTTTTTAAAATAGGTTTTACATATTTTGCAGCAAAAGCTGCTGCTGATCTGCCATTTTGACTGAAATACTCAACACACTTGACTGAGTAATCTCAGAACTGTGTTGTTACGACAACCTTGTGTTTATACAAGATAAAATCAAGTTCAGACATGAGCAAAATAAAACTAAGGGGAAAAAGCAGAACTTTACTGAACATGGGGGAAACCAGCGGCAGCTTCAGAGCTACATTTAACACGCGGTCCCATTTACCCCACAGCATCATCTGAAAACATGCTAAATGAGGCTCAGAGTGTAATAAACATGCCGTTGCTGTCTTATCTTTCCTCTTTTTGTTCTGCGACTCATCCTGTTGTCTGAAGTTCAAGAACAGTCAGCTGCAGCAATCCAAGTCATTTGCAGCAGAAATAGTAACTCAGGTTTACAACTGCTGTTAAGCAGTGTGTCACGCCATGCCTTTCTTTGGCCATGTGAGACTGTCACGATCATGGACTGCACACCCAGGGCACCAGTAAAGGCCAAATTTGTCACCTGGGCTGCAGGGTGAGATTTTTATTCCCCACAGTCCAGGATGTTGCCACTAAATTCTGAGTGTCAAACATAAAACCCTGGTGCTGATAATTAAAACTAAAGGAAGGGAACAGAGGAAAACGGGTGAGGAGAGCTGTGACCCAAAATCTAAATCACAACAGTTTTCAGCTCCTTGAATAGAATCTAACAAACCAATTTGCATAAAAACAGCTGGTCACTTCCACATTCTTTTTAAACCCTTTTACAGATTCTGCGTCATCCTCTCACACTTTTTTGAAACACAGCGAGCCGTCTTCACCATTTGAGTCTTGAGTGGAAACACAGACAGTCCTTTTACCACCCAAGAGCACTATGTAGAAACACCATGTTGTGAGGTTCATTGATAGAGTGGATGCTTCTTTAGAACAGACTTGGCTTTGTTGACAGCAACCCATCCCTCTACCAGGATAAGAAAGGCCACTCTGAGAGCTTCAAGGCCAGAAAGACAGGGCCTGCCTTTCACATGTTGGGCCGTATAGCACAATGCTGTGACAGTCATGGTGACTAAAAAAGACCTATGATGTTTTACCAGGGCAGTGGTACCGTGATTCTGGAAAACAGGGTCCTCAAAGCACACAGTATTTTACTTTACTTGCAAGCTAAAACACTGATTGCCATTTGAAGTACATTTTCCAAACAATCAGATGGCACTCTGAGGGCATCGCCCTCACTGGAAATTATTGATAGACACACTAAGACAGTACAAGTTCTGCCTGCTAAGATATCAAATGTCAATTGACCAATAATGACTGAGTGGCAGCAGGGAGGTTGAACTGAAGGTCAATGGCTTCATCATACATCTGTCAAGTGGTGTCAAGCGTTATTTACCTGTTTGGTTCAGGAAGCATTTGAACTTGGTGTGTCCAAGGTGATGAAAGACACAAATCAAATGGCCTAGTTTGTGCTGGTAAAGCAGGTCCTGCAGCCAGGGGGAATATCACAAGTATCTATTTCATGTTGCAGGACCCAACAGCTCATGGAGAGTGTCTGAGGAGCAGCACTCACCAGCATGAATCCTCCTTTGAATGAGTAAATAACTAAAAACAATTTAAATGAATGTTTATTTCAACTTCAGAAAATAAACATTTATTTTGAAACTGACTAAAAAAAGTATTTACTGAAGCATTTGTCTTTTGGAAAAAGTGAAAGCTAGGGTATGCTATGGTCTCGTAGCTGAAACAGACAGCTTCCTGTGCCTGTTCCAAGAGGAGCAGACAGCTGCCGGATGTTCCCGGCTTTGCTTCCTGTGTTTCCTTGTCAACTCCCACCACTATATCCCTCTATTCTTACAAACTGTCATCATGCTGAAGATACAAAAACAACTAAATAGCTGCAGGTGCAGCAGGAATCCTCAGCCGTTTTTTTCTGTGGAGGCTATATTAGCTCTAATTTGTGACTATGCAATCATCTCAGACATAACAGCCACTGGACTATTCCCTAGATGACATGATCAAAGGGCAAACAGCATGAAACGGTTCCGTTGCAGAATGGCAGGAAGCTCGAGTACCAGGTAATAGGAACTGCTTTCTTTTGGAGGACTTTAAAGCACTTAAGTTCATAAATATTTGTTTCCTTATCTGTATAAGGCTTACAGAAATATTTGACTGTAATTAGTATTTAAGTGCATTTAGGGGCACAGTATATTTAGGGCCTCATCAAAACCACAAAGAATCTTGAACTACTTCCTTATTTTGTAAGCTATGGACTTCAAGAACTATTTCAAAAACTGTTTGTGCTGACTGAGTGAAAAGTTTAAGCTAGACTTTTATCTCAAAACTATGACTACACTGGAGGCTGGCTAACCACATATTTTAGGTGTTGCATAAGCACAACAGTATTTTGTAACTTCTTCAACTTTGCGGAAGACGGCAGTTTGTTTTTTTCATCTTTTGTTCTTTCTTTTTTTTTTATTCAAAGGGATTCTTTCTTTACAGCCATGGAGTGAACCTTACACAGGTGCATTCTGAAGTCCTGTGACCACCCCAACAACAAGAAGAACCCTGACGTCCAACACCTATGTATCCTTTTCTTTTTCAGGCATCTGCAAAATTAAATGCAACTGCCTTTCATAGCAAAGTCCTGCTTACCAAAGCCAAATAGTTAATTGCTGACACAACAAGCGCGTTCCATTTATCCCAGTAGGAAACTATTAAAACTGTCAGCATCACTTCATAAACGTGCCCAGCTATTTCCCCTCAAAACATTTGGCTGTAAAGATTCAAGTTTGTTAGCAGTGCAATGTTAACTCACAAAATCAGAAAATTGCCCAACGCATTCCGTTTGCACCACCAAAGATTTTCAGTTTTATACCTTATGTCTCTTTAGAAACACAGTAGAATGAGTGCAGGAAGGTTAAGTCTTTTTGCAAGCTCTCGCAAAATACCAGACAGACCAGAAACCCAAAGCAACTGACCACACCTGGCAGGTAAAGACATGCATAGGGCGTGAAAATTATCCAAATAAGTACCGTAAGATAAGTCTGCCCAACCTCCCTTCCATCCAGTAAGGATTTCCAAAGGGTAGGCCTGATAAATCTTTTCCATGTTTGAGCAGTATTGCTCATTCACAGGAACAGTCTACCCCCCCTGAGCTGGGACACTTTCTGCCTCTTTGGGAATTCCTCACATTCCTTACATTCATCTTTAATTGAGGTCGCTCTCATTGTCTCCATCAGACAAAACAAGTCAGAGATGCGGTGGGGCTCTGAAAGGACTTGGCTGTACACATATGTAAGAGTGGTTTCACATCAAATTTTCAATAATGGGTCATGCCTGTGCCTTTGTCTCTGGAATAAAAAGATTACACTCTTGTGTGAGTAACTTTAAAGATTAATTAGTGTCTTTCTTCCAGCTTTAAGCAACCAACAGCATCTCAAAACTCGATAACCTAACTTCTTAGTAATGATAAGGAAAGAAACTTGTTGCATGTAATGGTGTAATTTCACAGGACATACAAAATACCAAACCTGCCTGGTTTGGATGCATTTCTAACCTTATCGTTAAAGATTTCAAGGGAGGAAATACGCGCAATACGTGCTTTTTCTGTAAGAGCCAAACAATGAGATAAAAGCTTTTTTCATGCTCACTCCCACCCTAAAAACTTCAAGAGAAATGTGATTAAATAGCTTAAACCCTTTAAATACACAGCAGGATCCCACTCAATGGTCTCACTGGTTTGTTCCAAAGCAGGATGTTTACCTTGAGCTGCAGAGCCATTTTAACCTGCTTACCACAGGTGGCAGAAGGACAGAACGCCACTACTAAGTTGATGAAAAGAACATTCAAACTGCTTGGGCACACTTCCGCTGGAGAGAACTATTTTTGATGTCAAAGATAAGAGCCACAGTGCTTGGGGACTTATTTCAACATCACAGCTTTTGGCCTTGAGACTGAAACCAGAAAAAAATTACATCTGATTCTTCACTTCAATGATCTCATAACACCAGCCGTGCTGTGATGTTTCTATAGCAACAGGAAAAAATAATTACAGACTTGTGTGTTCATTCATGCCACTGTTAGAAACATCTGATTGTAATTCTAAATTTCCAGGGACCAAGAGTAAGAGAGGACAAGAACTAAATGTAAGATTTTTGCTGTACTTAAAGCCACTTGGTAGAACTTTTAAAAACAAAACACGTCAATACAAACACTTAACTTTTACATTAAGTCATTAAATAGGTTTTAGTCTATAACGATCTTTATTTGAAAAAAGTTATTAAAAAGGTGGATTTTGAAGGTGCTGGAGGAGCAATAAATCTCAGTTTATTGAAGGTTTTGTGCCATTTCTATATTCAGATGGCTAATTATTCATAAAGCAACAGACCAATCACAAATCTCTGACCTTTACAAGCAATAATTGTCTATTTTTTGTGCAAATGATAACTATGATGCCCTCAGCTCTTTGATTCTGTACTGACTTTTTCAACATACAACTTACCTGATTATGAAACCAAAAGCATAATTGGGCAAGGAATTACGTTTAAACCTTTACCACAACTGTTGAGGAAGAACTTGTGACAGAGAGAACCTCTAGACAAAATAAGACGTCAAAAACGAACAAACCATAATGTTTAAATACTGCTCTGTAATGTAGCCAAGAGGAAGGAAGTAAACATATACAGTGGGGCAAAAAAGTATTTAGTCAGCCACCAATTGTGCAAGTTCTCCCACTTAAAAAGATGACAGATGGCTGTCCTTTTCATCATAAGTAAACCTCAACTATGAGAGACAAAATGAGGAGAAAAAATCCAGAAGATCATATTGTCTGATTTTTCAAGAATTTATTTGCAAATTATGGTGGAAAATAAGTATTTGGTCACCTACAAACAAGCAAGATTTCTGTCTCTCACAGGCCTGTAACTTCTTCTTTAAGAGGCTCCTCTGTCCTTCACTCGTTACCTGTATTAATGGCACCTGTTTTAACTCGTTATCAGTATAAAAGACACCTGTCCACAACCTTAAACAGTCACACCCCCAACTTCACTATGGCCAAGACCAAAGAGCTGTCGAAGGACACCAGAAACAAAGTTGTAGACCTGCACCGGGCTGGGAAGACTGAATCTCTAATCAGTAAGCAGTTAGGTGTGAAGAAATCAACAGTGGGAGCAATTATTAGAAAATGGAAGACCTACAAGACCACTGATAATCTCCCTCGATCTGGGGCTCCCCGCAAGATCTCACCCCGTGGGGTCAAAATGATCACAAGAACGGTGAGCAAGAATCCCAGAACCACACGGGGGGGACCTAGTGAATGACCTGCTGAGAGCTGGGACCAAGGTAACAAAGCCTACCATCAGTAACGCACTACGCCGCCAGGGACTCAAATCCTGCAGTGCCAGACGTGTCCCCCTGCTTAAACCAGTCCATCTCCAGGCCCGTCTGAAGTTTGCTAGAGAACATTTGGATGGTCCAGGAGAGGATTGGGAGAATGTCCTATGGTCAGATGAAACCAAAGTAGAACTTTTTGGTAAAAACGCAACTCGTCGTGTTTGGAGGAAGAAGAATGCGGAGTTGCATCCAAAGAACACCATACCTACCGTGAAGCATGGGGGTGGAAACGTCATGCTTTGGGGCTGTTTTTCTGCAAAGGGACCAGGACGATTGATCCGTGTGAAGGAGAGAATGAATGGGGCCATGTATCGTGATATTTTGAGTGAAAACCTCCTTCCATCAGCAAGGGCACTGAAGATGAAACGTGGCTGGGTCTTTCAGCATGACAATGATCCCAAACACACTGCCCGGGCAACAAAGGAGTGGCTTCGTAAAAAGCATTTCAAGGTCCTGGAGTGGCCTAGCCAGTCTCCAGATCTAAACCCCACAGAAAATCTTTGGAGGGAGTTGAAAGTCCGCGTTGCCCAACGACAGCCCCAAAACATCACTGCTCTAGAAGAGATCTGCATGGAGGAATGGGCCAAAATACCAGCAACTGTGTGTGAGAACCTGGTGAAGACTTATAGAAAACGTTTGACCTCTGTCATTGCCAACAAAGGGTATATAACAAAGTATTGATATGGACTTTTGTTTTTGACCAAATACTTATTTTCCACCATAATTTCCAAATAAATTCTTAAAAAATCAGACAATATGATCTTCTGGATTTTTTCTCCTCATTTTGTCTCTCATAGTTGAGGTTGACTTATGATGAAAATGACAGGCATCTGTCATCTTTTTAAGTGGGAGAACTTGCACAGTTGGTGGCTGACTAAATACTTTTTTGCCCCACTGTAGATAATGGACCATATGGGAAGAGGACCTGATGTTTCCAAGTGGGCACTGAAGGAAGTGAACAAGGTTAAAATACTTAGAGACCATAAAGCCTAATAAATAAATTGCAGGCAAATGGTAGGTAATCCCTCTAAATGAAACATTCCTTTGCTGTCGCCAGAGAAATTGTCCACATTTATCAGCCAACAACTGGCAGGGGATTAACACAACAACAGCACACTGTTAACTTGTCTACCTTAAACTAGCATGTCTCCCCTCCATTAAAAAAAACTGTATCTGGCCATTCCCACTGTTTCCTTCTATCTATTGGTTTGGTTTTGAGAACAAAATCGGAGGAAACAGCTGATCATCGTAGTTGCTTACACATTCCCATCGTGACAGTTTATTTCTAAAGCACACTGTTGTGGCTAGATTACTTCCAGCTCTTAATATAGTCTCAACCCAAGTTGCTCTGTCCAAGGCGGTGCACTTAATTTACCGTTTGCAATTTCAAAATTCATAATTAATAGATCCTGAGACATTTTAATTGCAGGGTTGGTAGGAAAAAAACTATGATGGCATTAAAATAGGCCTGTAAAATATATTTTCTCTTGGAAATACTTCATTTCTGCCAAAAGAGTTACATTTTTTGTGCAGGTTTAATGGTTTGTGTGGGGCATCTAAAAAAGATATGAAAAATTCTGTTTGATTTAACAGGGGTAAAAAGAAAAGAAGGTCTTCTTAACAAGATGATTTCAATGAGGATAAAAGGTGATCAACACATACTTATTGATAGATACTATGCCTACGCCACAAATATCTGAGCAAAAGTGAGCAAAGTATATCTAGACTTATCTATACATATATAAAAAATGAACAGTGTTTTTGTTGGTAATGGAGAGGGCAGTTATTTTCAACATAATCACTAGCCTATTATATTAGTAATAAAACTAAATATAAAAGGTTGTCAACTAACATTGTAGGGGCATTACATCTATGTAATGTCAATAATTAGAAACAAATCATCAATCTTTTCTCAATGTGTCATAATGCACCGATTGCTAAATGTTGTTCTGAATGGAACATGACTGGTCAATTAAGACTGTATTTAATTATCTAACCACAGACAGTACCAGCTGGTTTTGCCCGCTGAAACGTTCTTCAAAAGGCTATTTTGTGTATTTATTCCTTTTGTTTGCAGCCCATTGCTGCAGTGCCTACGTCAAGCTATGGCAGTCGGCTACACAGGAGGCAGGGCATACTTTCAAGGGGAAAAGGGCGTCACTGCCCTTTGCCCCAAACCGATTTACTTCAGGAAAGTTTACAACGTGCACACATCTTTTCGTGCCACCAAACATATAAGACACGTTAGATGAATTGGTTTTATCGAAAGTTGAGGCTTGCGTTTTGACGTTCAGGTCGGTTCGTTTTAGGGCGAACAACGTGGAACAAAGCGACAGGTAGGGAGCAGCAGCCTAGCCGGACGGTGCCAGATACTTTTCGCAAGAGAAGAAAGTTACTCACCCGCACAAGGTTGCTGACGGCCGCCTGTACGGCAGCCACCGGCGCCGTGAGGTCGGGAATAGCTTTGCCATCAACTTCACCTTCTTCGTGCATTATCACTAAATGGGATATCTGCTGAGCCACCGGCTCCAGGATACTTTCTATCGTCTTCGTGTGAAAAACCGGCATTGTGACAACTTTAGAGTTACTACCCGAGAAAATATCCAACCACCTAAGGCAGGTTCTCCTATACTCCCGCTATACAAAAACCTCCAAAAACAATCCCGACTGCTTTCCCTCTCAGGACGGTATGAGGACTTCTACTATTCCCGTGAAACCATCAACGTGAGAAACTCCCAGACAGGGGGAGCGCGAGCAACCGACGAGTCAACTGACGCCGGGCATCTTCTGACCAATACACAAGCTAGACGAAACTGTTTGTGGCATCTGATTGGCCATTTAGACTGCCGCTCTGAATAGGCCCCTCCCGCTAGCACACAGGCGAGTTTGCTCGAGATCTGAGTGCTCCCTAAATTACGTAATAGATCCACATGTCCTAAAAAGGAAAATATATGTCTACTGTTGGTGAAGAGGGGGATACACGTCGCAGTAAGGGAACTCGTCAGTAAAGTCCTGCTTTTGGCACTTCAGTTGCAGACAGGGAGGCTATGACTCATGGGAGATGAGACTACAGGAAAGCATAATATTCATAAGAAGTCATCCCACAGAATAGAGACATAATGATGACATACTTTTTTCCACTAATTTGTAATCCACTCATCATTGTTATGAGAAATTGAAGGCCTTATAATAAATTGATATGGTAAAATATTACAATGAAGACGTGCTTGCATTACTGTGAAATCACACCACTTTGCCAATTACAATGATCGAGAATAACTGCTTGAATACATTTCTCACTTATTACAGAAAGCACACTCACATGTACATTCAACTTTTGCTCTGACCGAACATGGCAGATTTTTACAATTCCTTTTCTGTTCCAACCTCCTTAAACATAAACATTGAAAGATTGAAAACCAACTGCCAAGCAAACCAGCTAAGGAATTCCCACAGAATCCCAAGAGGGCCTTCAAGCAGCAGCCCACTGCCTAAAAAGGAAGAGTCTAAAAAGAAAGAATCAAGGAAGTTACTCAGTTTGCACCCTTGTGTAAACACCAGGGTTGATATGATTTCCTTTTATGTAAGCAGTTCTGTTATTACCCATCAAAAATGAGCACAGATGTTTTTTTTGTTTGGTTAACTCTCAGACAGGCAAACACCAATTATTTAGTTAATTTGTATAATTCTGCATACCCTTTTTCTTATTTACTGATATCCCAATAAAATTACACTAACTGATGGCATAATGTAGCCCACACACTCCTAAAAGTCAGTTAAACTGTCTGTCTTTCAGAGTCCATCCTGAATATAGACATCAAAGATGGCCTGCTGTTTTCATACCTCTCCAGTTACTGACAAGGTCGTCCCTTCTGTCCATACTGGAATGTGCAAGACTGCTCAAGATGGGTGGTCCACACCATCCCCTGTTTTTCTACTCTGTACTGATAAGACAGTATGAGTGGTTCTGCAGGGACTGTTTAATAAGATAGTTGTCATTATTCATTGACTGATAACTGAACATAGCAATGCTTCTTTTCAAGCAATTATATACCAAATGTGGAGTCGGGGCATATAATGCGAGTGACAACAAAAACAGTATGTATAAATCAAACATTGTATAACACAAATTAAAGATTGTTCTTAATTACTTGTCAATAGGAATACTTTGATGGGTTTTCAGACTGCTGACAAGTTATTTTTTCCTTTTTCAGTCTCTGCTTTCAGCTGGTGCCATCTTGTGGTACTAGGAAGTAATTGCAATGAATGGAAAGGGAAACATTTCAGTGGGACACAACTTTAATCTTAAGAGTAGAGACCAATACACTCCATATAATGATTAATTTTTCTCAGGGAAAACACTATTATTTATTTATATAACTGAATGCATAAAATATTTAAATATAAGTACATTCTGATGAGTCATTTGGATCAAATAAAATGACACCGACATCACTGATTTGTTTGTTTTTATGCTCTACAATCAAAATCATGATTTCAACTACCCAGATATCATAACAACAAGTTAAGCGATCATATCAGAGTGAGTCTCTGAAAGAGTGAAATCACAGCACAGGAACTACACTGATCTAATCCTCTGAAAAACATGCTATCTGATCAAGGATAAAAATTATGCTTGTTTTTTGTTTTGCAGGGGTCATTGACTTATGTTCTAATTCCTGACAGGATGTGCCTTCTGGATTCACCTAGGCCAGAAGATGTTCTTGTCAGAGTTGACAAAAAAATAATTGGGATCAGAGACTGTCCACAATGGGGCACTTGAGCAACATTGCATGTCAATGTGGATACTCAGTTTGATACTGTCATTGTTTCTCATTTGGGAAAAGGTATTGAAGTCGTTTATTCACCAATACAGTTAAACCTGATAAATCCATGTATACTATTATTTATGTATGCTATGTGCTCATTAGAATGCTGTTAAGTAAAGTAAATTGAGTAACCGTAGGAAAGTCCTTATACAGTACATGCTATTCACACACCTGTGGATACACTGGTAGGAAATGTGGGGTTCAGTGTCTTGGCCAAGGACCTGTGGCCCAGTGGAACACTAGGACCAAACTTCAGATCAGTAGATGACTGCTCTTCCTCCTTGGCTACAGGAGGCAGTCAAATATAAACAGATAAATGACTGATAAAAGAAAGAAAAAACCCCCACAACAACTGCCTAATGAGAATGTTGATGAGCAAACAAACAACAAAAGGCAGTGGATATTGAACAAAACTACAAAAAAAATACAAAATACAATCAAGTAATAAAGAAAATTGACCAGAATTTAGATAGGGAGAGTAGTGAACATCATGAATTCAGGTATGATCGAAAACAGGATAATTGTAAGTAGCAACATGGACACAGAAAGGTGCACAGAAAGTATTTTAGACATCCATCCATCCATTTCCAACAGTGGGGCTGGAGCCCTTTTCCAGCTGACAATGGGCGAAAGGGGGGGGTCATTTTGAGGGTTAATTGGAAATTGGATTTGTACATAGATATCATTTTGCAAGTTCCAATTATTAATTGAATTCTGTGGTTAAATGTGAACAGGATTTTTAAGGTTGAATATAGTTGTAGTTGTATAGTTGTTTTTGCCAGGAAATACTTGTATATACATTCAAATGCCAGATGAGGGCACTAAAATCTTCAAATGTGCAAAGCATAACTGATATTTATGCATTTTCTTTGACTTTCTTTTATAGATTATCTTTCAGTGTTATTTAGACCTAAAACACCACACTTGATCACAGTGCTATTTATTATGCAATTACTGTAACACGTTGGCCTTAAAAAAAAAAGTCCCCATGGGGACAACAGTGTTAATTTGATGAGATTTGATGGAGGACCTCAGGCAGGTGCTTATGCTATAAAGCTGTTTTGTGACCTTTCAGCTGTTGTACAGTATGATGTTTTAGTTTGGTCAATCAATTCTATCTTTATTGCATGCTCATAACAAAGACAGTGTCCCATCTCTGAATTATTTTATGACACAGTGTACACAAAATTATACTGATAATATATTGATAAATATTCAAGAGCGTAGATCATTTCCATTTGATCACCAATCTGTTGCAGTGTTCATCTGTGCAGCTGATTTGTTTCATCAGCTTGAGGGACTCAGCGAGACAGCCCTGCCTGAGGTGTCTGGCTCACAGCCACTGTAATGCCCTGTGACAGCAGCTGCATCAGAAACATGAAGAGGACTCAGAAACCTACTTTCTGCAAATATGGAATGTCACTTTATCATTTCCACTTGTGGTTTGTCTTGTTTTCATTTGCTGACTGTATCATTTTTCATGTACCTTAACACGGACACCATGTTCAGTGCTTTACTGATACTAAAAAAAGCAGAAAACAGCCCTATTCCAAGATAGTGGTTAGTTTGATTTAACATTATTTGAAAAAGAGTAGAATTGTCTTTAAATCTATGATAGCATCTTAGCATTAGTTTAAAAATATGTTTATATGCACAAGTTCTGCAATGTAGTGAGGAAAGTACAGTCTAAAAGTCTAATCGGCTGAACTGGTTGTACTCCAAAACCTTTAATCTACTGTCCACTCAGAGTGCAGAAAGTTTGATCATGAAATGGTTGCAGATTAATTCAGTTGAGACATAAATCTGTTCCCAAAGACACGTGTTGGCATGGTTAAAACATGTCTCCTTTGCTGCATCTGAGGATTTGCTACACTGATATGAAATATCTACCTCTTTGATAACTGCAAATGAAGCAATTTATCAACAGCATGAAAATAATTTGGAGAACTCTATCTGACAATTTTACATTTTATATTCATAGAAAAAAAAACTTCTTTTTCTATTAATCTCATTAGTGGGAAATTGCTTTAATTGACATTCTTATATGGTTTTATTATCTCTGAGCATAAATTGAAAACTTGACAATATTTAGACAAAGTTGAATATATTGTTAAAACTAATTATTTCTGCAATATTTGAAAAATGTATTAAGAGCCCAACTGAAGCTGCTGCAGGAAAAAACACCCATGATTTTACTCTTTCCATTCTTTGTCTCATTTTTTCCTTTGACTGCTGCCAAGATGGTACTGGGGAAATTTCAATAAAAACTTTTCACAGCTGTCACTTTGGCACCATCACTGAAAAAAAGGTTTCATTAATGTTATTTTTAGCAGCTGCATTCTGTTGGAGCCATCCATCTACAAGCCCTTCTGTTCTTAATCCAGGCTCAATCACAGCCTACCTGGATACTCAAACTTCACTATAAATACATGTTTGGTAGCAGTGTGTCAAAGTGACTAGAATAAAATGATAGAGATAGCTACAGCAACAGTACTCCCGACAGTAGGTGGATTGAACAGGTTTAAAAGCAGCTCAATATTGGACCTGCATTAATTATAGACAGAACCATGGCTTTGCTGGCCGGATACATATGAATTCTGCAATATTTCCAGACAAAGTTGCGATGCAGTGAAATATATCAATATATAAACGGCTAGGTTCAGGACAGATGGACAAGTAGTGTAATGCTAAAACTTTAGTTACCAATAAAAGGAAGATTCTGACTCTGTAACCACGTCAATTGAAAATGCAATATCCTGAAAAACTGTTACTTTTCATAGGACCCAAGCTCATTTAAGACAACCCAAGGTCAAGAGGAAAACTGTCGTTGAGTTGTTTGACAAATAAAAACCGTAAAAGTTTGAAATCTTCCAAGCCACAGATAAGAGATCTGTTATAGTATTGGATGCATTTATTTAAATGAAAGACGCATAATTTTTTGTGTAATCTAGACAACATCTTTGTCAGTGAAAGTCTAGGGTATTTCCTCAGGATTTAAACCAAAATTTATTCCAGGTGCTGTGCAAGCCTCACAGCAGCCTGGAGCTGTCATAATCTGAAGATTTTTTTCATTTTATTTATTCTTTCTGCAGTCCCTGCCTGTAAAAATAATACATGTACAAACTAACAGTTATAAGAGCAATCTTGCAAAAGATTTACTTTTTTTTTAGATTTAGATTTTTAATTTTGTTTTACAAGTGGCTTTGGATAAAAGCGTCTGCTAAATGTATTAACAGAAACAAGCAGCACTTTTGAGCACTGTAGTATTTTCTGATAATATTCAATATGCATCAAAATGCTATTAACTTCCTTCTCATCTGGGGGTGCATCTTTTGAATATGCGTTTTTTTTCCATTCCTTAATCTTCAAATGAACATGAATAAAATGATTATGCTTATTGTTTGAGCTTGATATTTCCCTCTCCTTCTTTATGTGTCCCTGGCTTCCCACATTTGCCAGCAGGAAAGTGCCCTCCTTAGCCCTGACTCATACAGTTACCGAGTTAATTTTGCTCTCTCCCTCCTCCCCTTTTCCTTTTTCCTCTCTCCAGCTGTCTTACTCTCTCTCCTCCTCTCCTCTTCCTCTCCTCATTCTCTCAGTTCTCCTCTCTGATTTTCATCACTTTGGTCCCTTCCTCTTCTCCCTCTCTCTGTATTGCTGCACATCTCTGTTGCTCACTCGCAGACCAACACCAGCTCTCTCTGGGCACCACCACCGGAGATCCCTAGTGTAACTGTGTTTTGCCAGGTGGACGCACTCCCCACAGTCACCATTTCCACCCCGGAGAGTTCAACGCTGGCAGCGCAGCCCCTTCCCAGGCTGAGCATCGGGCGGAAGACCCTGGTGGCTGCTGCTGTGGGGGTCATGCTGGTCCTGGTGCTGGTGGTCCTCATCCCTGTGCTGGTCAGCTCTGTTGGCACAGGTGGTACAGATGACAGCACAAGCCACTATGAGATGCTGGGTACCTGTCGCATGGTGTGTGACCCCTTCCCCGGCACAGGCACCGCGGGCACAGGCTTGCACACAGGGACAGACACAGCGACCACAGGCTTCCTGGGGGACAACGAGGGAGATTTAAACGATCACAGCATCGGTCCACCGCTGCCTACGTACAGCGCTCATGGTTCACATGGTAAACAAGGACGTCCAGGCAAGCCTGGACCCCCGGGACCTCCAGGAGAGCCAGGTCCACCAGGACCAAGGGGACCACCGGGAGATGGTGTGGACATAGTTCGGACAGGGATTTTAGGGGCAGTTAGCACGACCACCTACAACACCACCCCCCGGGTGGCATTCTATGCCGGACTTCGAAACCCTCAGGAAGGTTATGACATACTGCGCTTTGATGATGTGGTAACTAATATTGGTGGTAACTATGAGGGTTCAACGGGCAAGTTCACTTGTAAGATCCCTGGCACCTACTTTTTCATCTACAATGTGCTGATGAGAGGAGGAGATGGTACCAGCATGTGGGCTGACCTGATCAAAAATGGTCTGGTGGGTCACTGTTTCATTACTCATATATTTAATTTCTGTTTGTGGTTGTTATTGTTTGTAAATAGAACGTAATAACAATTATCCATTTGCAAAGTCACTAATCCTGATTTACAGAGCCATTTATAACCAAATTAAACCCATCAAACAGTTGCTACTTACAGAGTGCAGGGAGTACAAAGTGTGTATTCATATGATGAATATGAGTTGTTGTTTTTTTTGTCTTTACTTTTTTAGCTTTGAGTCGGTCTGGTGTAGTAGTTTTCTATGACAATTCGCAGTGGCAGTCTGCCAGGATGTATGTGTGTGCAAATTGCATGTCCTGTGATGTACATGTTGACATGAGTGGAAGGAGTAAAGCACTATCTCTGCTCTGCACACATCAAAATACAGCCTGGGGTTGTGGCTAGTTCAAAGCTGTTGCCCTTTGAAATACAACAAACTTCATAGAATCATGATAAGCCATCAGGTTTCTTAAGCGATTGATGATATTTGATATATTCATGGATAATTTGGTTATGTCCAAAAGGCCCTGAGCAATGACACTGATCAAAAATATGTATATCTGAGCCTCGTTGCAGCTAAAATCTAAACCAAAATGCAACAGGCCGTACAGAGAGAGGGCTCAATAGCAAGATACCTCACACAGCACACTGAATTGTAGAAAAAAGTTTACCACAAACATCTGTAAATCTTTCTATACTAACAGTGACCTAAGAAAAATTGATCTGGTCTAAAAGATTATTATATTCTAAGAGGCAGTCGTTTGTTGAAAGGTTCAAGATGAAGCACCAACATAAATATACCCACTGGAAACAATTTCAGGCACATACAAAGGCAAAACAAAAAGGAAGAAACAAAACGGAGTACATTTCATCCTAAGGTGTAGATTTTTTTTGTTGGATTTTAAGAATTCAGAAATTCAGAGAAGGGTCCAAAATCTTGTTGAGATCTGATGATTGCCAGGCCTATGGTCTGATGGTATCACTATCACACTCATCATGTCATTCATGGACTCCAGGTGCTGGATGGGTGGGGGCACAGTATCACAACATGTTTTTATCAATGTAAATTAATATATGCATTTTAGCGGAGATCAGCCTTAATCTTTTACTTGCATGAGTAGTTAACAAAAAGACTTGTGAAGTCTTTTTTAAGACTGATATTTAGCATATCTCTTTCCTTACAGGGAGCTGTCAGAGATTTTACATTACAGAGAGGGAGACACAGATAACACATTGATACAGGAATCAACTGATTTAGAGATATTTGACTGCAATCATCCTGTTGGAAAATTGGGTAACTTAAACCCTTTGAAGTGGCTGGTCTCTATCATGAAATCTGTGTTGCCTTTATCTTACCTCGACTCTATTTTTACCAGGCACAACATTTCTATGCACATATTTTTAGGGCTACGAAAACACCCAAGAAATAATAGCATTTTTGATCACTTCAACAGTTCAAGAACTCTTTTGAAATATTATTCTTTTTATACCAAAGCATCTTTATTTACAAAAGCTCCAAACTTTTTTCATTCAATTGCAAAAAAATGGTCGAAACACTCCACACGATTCCACAAACATTATAAAATCATTTTTCTACATTATATATTTGTGCACTGTGACATTTTAAGCAAGTAGGGCTTGTATCTGCTGTAGGTCAGTGATGTGAGTTTTGATATTGGATTGGATTGGGCTTTTTCTCTACTTGTAAATAGAGCGTATGTTGCTGTCGTAAGCTGTCATCCAATGAGCTATGCAAAAAATATTTGATTGTATGGTTATGAATTTGTTTCAATATAGTTAGAATTAATGGCTGTTTTTTACAAATAGTCCATGCAAACAAATATAAAACGATGTAGTTATCTAATATCAATCGCAAATCAACTGAAAACAGGAATAGCTGCCATTGTGAAAACTTCACGGGCACACAAAAGCAAAAAACAAACAGGTAAAGCTATTTACAACACTATAAATAATTTCCAGTTAATCGTAAAAACAATTTTGCATGATTAAATTATCAATGGCAACACTTACAAGAATTACAAAATTATCATCATCCTATATCTATGTGATCTAAATTTTGATTTAGGATGAAAATGCCACAGAAATGTCAAGCACCTTTTATCTTATTCTCTCTTAATAAACTAGGATACTTAGTGGCTGTTAAATTAATTGTCACATAGTGTTTGAGTCTATGGTGGACAGCGTGTTGCTGTAGTAGACCAGAGGGCAAAAAATGGGGATCGTGTAGGCAGCATTTCTGTAATGTCACACACACCCATCACTGTGCTGTCATCTGTCTCTAAACCCCACAGCCTCTTCACAGACACTTAAAGTCCACATTGCATTGATGGAGAGCATCATGGTCTTTTATTGGTTCCAACTAACTTGCAGACACAAAATAGTTGAAGTACAGATTAGACTCTCATGGCATCGTTAGGCTGCCAAGCAACAGTCATATAGCAAACGAGATTATTAGACATTAGTTTAAGTTTACAGGATATCTATCTTCCTGTGGATGACGGTTCATGCAAAGGAACTCATCCAGACAGTCTATGAGATTAGGTTGTAATGCTCCATAACGAACACCCTCTGTAATTACCCTGTGCTGACACAATGACACTTATATGCAGGAGAACATGACATTTTCAGTGCCTCACCCGGAGAAAGGTGGGTGGGAGAGCAGCACGTGAGGCAAAGGAGAGTTTGCTCTGCCATCCGTCATCAGAAACAGACTGACTGAGGCAAGACCCTTTCAGTTGAGTCACGAGATAAAAACAAGATATTTACCACAGGGGACACACTAACACAAAGTCAAACTCTCAAATTCAGGCCTCACTTTTTGCAGGCATTATATTTAGCTCACAGGAAATAAACAAGTGTGTTCCTATGTCATTTGATTATTATGTAAGTATTCAGCGTTTGTTTGGATGGTTAGATCAGTCATGTCATTGTGGTTGTTTGATTTAGGTCTTTTAAAAAAACGGTGTTAAATTTATTAGAAATTTTATGATTATCAATGCAGCTGAGTCCATGCATGCTGACAACTCATTTCTTCAAATCTTTTCCTCATCATTTCAATTCAGTAACTTCTCTCTCCTTAGTTTTTCATGTGCCTGTCATATTCCAGGTCAGGGCCAGCGCCATTGCCCAAGACCAAGACCAGAGTTATGACTACGCCAGCAACAGTGTCATACTTCATTTGGATGCAGGCGATGAGGTTTTCATCAAATTGGATGGGGGCAAGGCTCATGGAGGTAACAGCAACAAATACAGCACCTTCTCAGGGTTCATCCTCTACGCCGACTGAAGTCTGAGCAGGACAAGGGATCAGAAGGGACCGACCACAGGCGGCAGACGTTTACTTTCCAACTTTCACTTGGCATCCTTGCAGTGAGGTTAATGTTGCCAACAGCTACTGATCCACTGTCAGATTGTTATTCAAGTTCATCATTTATACAGTCATACAAACTGTAGACCTTTAGATGTGGGTGACTGTCGGCGTCCTCGTCCATTCGATCCATTGTATGCTGGACGCCTCTGTTGCTATTATGATGGACACAAGCAATGTAATTGTGTCAGTCATTGCCATGTGTCATACTGGGAGCAGTAACAAATCTGACAGTGCAGAAGCCTCACCGGAATTCCTGAGCTGTCAAGTCAAATTTAAGTCTGGAGATCCCACAGTTGTGGTGACCACACTTTTTGTAAATGTGTTATTTGAATCGGTGTTGAGATTAAGCATCATGTTTGTAAGATTAGCTGTTCGCTAAGGACTGAAAAAAAATTAGTTTGAGGAAATGAGTCAATTAGTGGATTTCAGATTGAGATTATAATGTCCGAGCATGAGGATTTGAAAAAACATATCATAGTAGCCCATTATATTTGGCTTATTGTTAGTGTATAAGATGTAAATCTGATGTTGAAATTTTGTGTCTGAACACAGTCAGTGTCCATTGAGCTAACGTACCTGTATGATACAATCACAAAGTGTGCTCATTTGTAATAGTTTATCTATTTAATTATTGCATGCAGCACCTGTTGAAATGTTCTATGTGTTTCCACAAATGCTGAATGGTAAAACACAATTTAAAAACTTATATGTGGGCCAAAGGAAAATTAATTGTTGTTATATTTACTTGTGATTTTAAATTAAAGTTGAGGCTTTTTTGTACTTTTTTTGTACTACTGACATTATTTGTGGTCACTGCACTTGAGTGGTTTCTTTATCAGCTGTGCTGATCTCTTATTATTCTGTAAACTCAACCTTTACCTTTCCAAATCTTCCACACAAGAGGACCTCGTTGCACAGCGAGAGGTAGTCAAAGCAGAGGCTATCACAGCTGTTTTAAATGCCAAATAAAGCTGTGGAGGATTGTGACTTACAATCAAAGGCGAGATGTGTTTTTTCCTATAATGGGTGTGGAGAAAGAAAGATATGGCAGGAGGAAGTAAGGGGACGGGTGTTAGAATGTATTATGACAAAGCTTAGATCCTTGCTGAATAATAATCCAGGGCAAATTATGCTGTGCTATGACTGCGACACAAGTGTCACAGACAAGATAACAGCTCCCAGGCACGAACTGTTCAAACTGTCCGTTTTCTCAAGAGCTCCCTTGACATTATGAAATCCTTTGGACATGATTCACCTTTGACATGAGCCACCAAACTGCCTCTTTTATACTTCGAAACTCAAAGTCAAAAGTTCACGAGTAAAAGTTGTGTGGATGTTCGTGCATTTAAATACCGATGCGTGCCAAAATGAGAATCTAATGAGTGAGTGGAGTTAAAACAACCACCAGCTCAGTGTGTCAAAGGAAAATGCCAATCAGAATCCAGCTAAATACAATTTTTATTGTGAGCTGGAAATTAGAATAATGATCTGCAAACATTAAAATGACAGAACAAGACTGGATCGCCAAAACGAATTATATATAGTGCGATTCACTGTTTAACTACTATCTGTAGTAGACTCCAGAAAGCCTTCTGGCCGGGACTTAAACTTGTTTAAAGACAGCAGAATTCCTCCAGACACAATTAGGGCTGAGGTTGTCCATATCAACAGAGGTCATCCGAGCCACAGGGCCTATGAGCCCTCATGCGGGCTGTGTTTTTTTGTAGGGTGTATGAGCACATCGTCACATTACAAACTTCATGTCCCAATGTCAAAGACAAATGCCCCCAGTCTGTGACAAACAGCTATCACTGCGGAGACTATAAGAAATGAACTCGGCCTTAGAGTCTTCGGCATGTTTGCTTTTCCTGAAGTCTTTTCCAAAAACTTGGCGAAACCAAAAGACTGCAACAATAAATCAAAGATGAAAGGGCATTTACCGTTTTAGAACCTGTTCTTGAAAGAGGGAGAGATGTGAAAATGCTGCTGCCTTCTCCTCTGAAACACAAAGCATTGAAGGGAGGGTTTGGTGCTGGCAAATAAATGCCTCATTTAGCCTTCCACCCATGCTTTTTTCAGCCATTTACTGCGGTCAAAGTCACACTGGCAACAGCTGTGAGGCTCTAAAATCATCTGTGGAAACCTCTGCCTAAAACATGGAGAAATTCTGCTGGCAGACAGCATCTTGGCCTCATCCCGGAAAACCGGTTGATCCTCACCCAAGCCATTGTACTTGTGTAAGCATCACAAACACTTCCTTCAGGGTGCTCGGTTTTGATGGTGACCTCAGCTGAACAGCCCATCCGACAGGACACTGTCAAGAAGGTGTTTAATTTGTGATGAAACAACATGTAGACTGTACAATGCTGAAATCCTTGACTCACATTTCATCTGAAGAGATTTTGTGTCAAGCTTTCCTCTGAGTGGTGCTGTAAGCTTCTTTTTGTTTATTTGAGCCTGTTCTCCAGGATTTAAGCGGATACATATATATATAATAATATTTTACCACCTCTTTTGATCATGCATAAGTACAAGGATTTTACAAGATTATGTCTCAAGAGTGGACTTAATTTTCTGTAATCTCCAGTGTGCTAGGTAACTGGAGGAAATTTAGACCCATTCACTCCCGCCCACACCCATCAGGAAACAGAGATGGCTTTGGCCTGACATTTGCAGGGGCAATTTGTTGAGACATGACGCTTATCAGGCTGCTGCAGCATGCACATTTGGAGGGGCCGTGTGTGTAAGTGTGTGGGTCAGTGTGGTTGTATGTTCTTTCATGTCTCTGTGAGACAGGAGCCTCCGCTGAAATATCTGAAGTGACGTTAATGAGCACTTGCTGTTGTTATCTTGAGCATCCCCACTTAACTCACCGGGGGAGATCCAAATCCAAGATAGATGTTTTAGCTGTCAAGCTAAATTGCCCTTCATGCTCCTGTGTGCTTCCACGCGCAAAAATGTGCAGGCACCTGCCCACAATTAAATGCACAAGTGGCTTAAGTTGCTCGGGCATGCTTAAAAACAATTTTTTTACAATGGGTTTTGATACAATTACACCAAAAAATGTTCACTTCACTGCACAAATGCTCTTTTAAATAATCGTCTTTGACACAGTGCAAACAGTGTGCACAAACACAGTCTAAAATCATAGCAGAGATAGTGAGAGGCTGCACAGTGGATGCAATAAGAAAGCTGGATAAGGCATGGTCCCTCATAAAGCGAGGCAGGATTTGCACTCCTTCTGGCAGACGCTGAGACATTTCAAAGAATAACTGAGGAATTTGTCCTGGTTGTGTCACAGAAAAAGTCAGCTCATTACAAAAGTCTCCTCAATTAAGCATGTAGGAGAAAAATGTCTTGCCATTATTCCATGCCGGTCTTTCCAGCAGGTATCATTACATTTATTTTATTAACCATTAACCATAAAAGCCAACTTGTTTGTGAAATGGCAATAAAAACACAAAAAACAAAACTATTTCAAGGAATCAACTGCTTTCCAAAAATACCTATGAACAAGGAATGAGTAAGACTCTGGCTGCTGATGCATAATAGTGTTGGAGAAATGATTTAGCCTGAATCAAAGTTTTTTAAAGCATTACCATTCAGTGAACCATGAGGCGCGCATGGCTGCAAAGTCTGCCCTCCCGTCACTGTCTGGCTGTCAATAACTGCTGACATTGAACAGAATCTTGCCAGCTGTGCTGCCATCTCCTTCAGTCATGTCAGCTCAGAGGTTTCCACAAGGCTGCATGCCGTGTATTACCTTGGTAAATATAAAAACAAATGGCAAGCAAGAGTGCATACATTAGCTGGAGTCATTCCTGGGGCAACAGTTCAATCTGAGAGCTGAGAGACAGGGCCCTTTTTTCCCTGTTGTACACACACACACATGCTCACACACACACACACACACATATTCATATATTCATGTAGATAGATAGATAGATAGATAGATAGATAGATAGATAGATAGATAG